TTTTTATGCATCAGATGAATAGATGTTTTTATGTTTATACTTTATACATTATTTGCCTTCTTTTTGCAGCTATTTGAGATGAAGGTTTGAGTTGCAACTTTTCAGCAGGTAAGAAGTATTTTTTAAGTAAATTGACGAAATTAGAAATGAGCTTTAGTAGCAAAAAAAACTAATTATATTATGCCCCTGGTCATTTAAAAGTTTTTTTCAACGTTTTTAATTTTATGTTGTTTTTTAGGTTCATATTTTTGTCGTAGAAAGAAAAATTGATTGATTGTGCAACGCTCTTTGACTTTTAGTGGCAATCGTATACGCTAAAACACATGGTCTCATATTCATCTTATGTTGATGCTATGAGGTGATAATTGATTGTTTGGCTAATAAATATGTCAGAGAGGGTGTTTTTCAGCATGCAATTCGTCAACAATTTCTTGGTTTGCATAAATTTTAAAGCTTTTGTGTCAAAAATAATTTGTATATTCTAAAAGTTTTTTGTTTTATTTTATTGCAGTTTCAGCAGACATAGGCCATGGAATTCACCTAAATTTCATGGAAAAACACTAAAAACACCATTGCACAGAATTGAACAAACACCTTGTGATAAAGAACTATGCAAACCAAGACAAATGCTAAAACCTATAGCCTTGCAACTCAGGTGAGACTATATTTTGTAAATTTACAATGATTAATTTTTTTTTATTTTTTTATTTTCTAATAAAAAGGATTTATATGTAGGATTTTATGGTAAAGGACGAAGCAATTCATACAAACCATTCATCTTCCAACCACTACAGGTATAATATTTTTTCTATTGTTTATAAATTTGAGCAGGTTTTAACAATTTAAGCAATACATTTTCGTTTCTTTTTCAGTGATAAAGGGTAATTTCGGAATACAAAATTCACCAACGGATTCCATTCCGAAATCCGAATGGCAAAATTACTTCTTTGGCAACACTTTTGGAACCGAGTTGAAACCGTAGATAAATTTGAAGATTTTTCAAAATCTTTCATAGACGAGGAAGATGAAGAAGGGAACCTCCCACCCCAGTTTGCACAAACCAGAATGGAATTAACCCCTTTTTGTCAACATCAAATAATCACTAACTCTGTTCAAGAACATGGTGTGGATTTTGGTAAAGCCATTCAAGTACCTTTTATCTCTCAATGCCCAACAGAATATCAAAAACCCAGTCTACCAAATTCGGTAAATTACACAAATACCCCTTAACTATTTTTTAAAGACTTTGGGATTATGATAAAGTTTATATCTTCTTGCTTCAAAACATGAAAACCTGATTGAGTGTTATTCAAGTGGGTATGAAGATGATTCTGGGAGAATTTAAACATTACTAAAATGTTGTCTTTACCTTCCACAATCTTTAAATTTTCAGGAAACATTCGGGTTTACTGCAGGATTAGACCTACATTTCATTTAGAACTGACACAAAGAACGTGATTGATTACATTGGAGAAGATAGGTTATTAGTGGTTTTAGAGCCTTTAAAACATCATAAAGATGGAAAAAAGTTGTTTCGAACCGCGTTTTGAGTCCAACCGGTACTCAAGGTAATAATAAAATTCAAACATTTTTCCACAATTAGAACCTTCTGTTGACTAATGCTTTGACTGTTATCAGAGGAGGTTTTTTGCTAACAAGAGAAAAAAAAACGAACACAGCGCCAACGGCGCGCATGATTCCCTTCTAGTTTAAATCAAAGCATATTTGTATCTATGCCGCCTCTCTCGTCTTTTTTTCTTTTTATCAAATTTATATTGGAGTCATGGTTCTAAAAATGGCGTCATGGCGTGCCTCAAGGCGTGTCATGGCGTCAGGCGTGGTGTAGCCGTTACGAAAACGTCCAAGGCGGGTTTGTTAAGCGTAGCGCCCAAATAACGTGTCAAGGCGCCTTATCGCAATATGGCGCGAGTTTTTTTTTCAAGGCGCGAGTTTTTTTTTTGTTTTTTTTATCGGGCCTAAAATAATTGAGTTTTTGTTAACTTTTTATATTAAATACTAATATAACACTTCTAAAAATTTGATATACTTGATAAAAATCAATAATTATATGATTTATCTCTTGTAATATATAGAAAAAAGTCACGCCTTGAAAAACGTCATGGCTCGCAAGTCTTGTCATGACTTAACTTTTACCTTGCCGCCAAGTCTCGCCTCATGTTATTTAGAACTTTGATTGGAAGAGATGAAATTGTGGGTTGGAAGTATGAAATAAGACTAGAGGGAGTGGGAGGGAAGCTTCCCTCACTTTTTGTGGGTCATACCCTCATTTCCCCCACTTTTCTTTCTCTTACCTAAAACCCAATGAATGAGTAGGAAGGGCTTCCCTCACTATTTTTATTTTTTTTTTAAATAAAATTAATTGATTTTTATGATTTATAATTTTTAGATTAAAAATAACCAAAAATTTTAATTAAAAAGAAAATGCATTTCATTAATTAAAATAAAAATTACATTAAACCTAATATTTAATAAGTAGAAAAATAAAAAATAAAAACGCAAAAAAAATAAAACAACCCACAACATAGAAAACATAATTAATATCCTAATTTTATTTAAACCAAAATACGTCACTTGGAATCATCGTCTTCGTCATCGCCCTCATCGTCATCGTCATCGCCTTGATCGTCTTCATCATTCTCCCCAGCGTTACTCTCGTCGTCGAAATCTTCACTCTCGACGAACATATCAGAATCCTCGTCTGATTCGTCAGACAAATCATCGTGAGAAAACTCTAACGGGGGCTGAACATGAGCCCTATAAATGTGCTCCACCAAATCAGCACGAAGGGCGTGATGAATGTCGCGATTGTGTACTTCTCTTCTATTCACCCTATACTCTTGTGTACCAACGGCTACTCCTTCGACATTTGGCAAAACTTCATTTTCGTTATACCGGCATATCGCTTTTCCTTCGTCTTCAAGAATCATATTATGCAATATGATGCATGCATACATTACGTGCTGTAACCTTTTCACCTCATATTACCTTGCCCCGACCGTTAGTACTTGTCAACGTCTCTTAAGTACACCAAATGTTCGCTCCACATCCTTCCTAGCTGACTCTTGCGCTTCTTTAAACTTTTTCATTTTCTGGTCGTTAGGACATGTAAACGATTTCACAAAAACAGACAAGGGAGGATATATACCGTCAGTAAGATAGTATACACGCTTATATGCTACCCCATTTGCTTGAAAAGCTACATCGTGCGACTTTCCAAGGTAGATATCGTTGAATACTGGCGACTGATCTAGCACATTGATGTCATTGTTTGCACCAGCTGGACCAAAGAATGCATGTCATATCCAAAGATCATGTGATGCGATAGCCTCTAGAATGATCGTCGGCTCTTTGTGGTCGTCTCTCATGTACTGACCACGTCATGCGTTGGGGCATAATGACCAACTCCAATGCATGCAATCGATACTACCTAGCATTCCTGGGAATCCATGCTTGCCTTCATGCACCGTGTACAATTGGTGGATATCGTTGATAGTTGGTTTGTGCAAATATTGTTGCCCATAAACCAAACAGATCGCTTTGCAGAACTTGTACACACACTCCCGCACGGTACGCTCTGACATCTTAAAATACCCATCCCATTTGTCTGCGCCCATGCCGTATGCTAGCTGACGAATTGCAGCCGTGCATTTTTGAATGGGAGAGAAACTTTTTTTCCGCCTTGCATCAATTTTCCATTGGAAATATGGAAAGCGGTCTTCCAAATCGCCAACAATACGTAAGAATAGTTTCTTCCTCATCCGGAACCGACGTCGAAACTTTACAGCGTAGATGGCGTCATCTGCAAAATAATCTTCTATAAGGCGATCGTGTCCGACTTCGTGATTTCTACGCAACGGCGACTTTCTTGGGTTAGATTGTGCACGTGATGTTTCGCCTAGTCGGTTTTGATAGTATGCAACCGTTTTCGCCATGACGGAACCGATAAACTTAGCCTCCTCTATAGCCGTCGAATCGGATGATGAAGATGATGACATTTTGAATAATATTTTTTGGAGAGAAATATAGGTTATGGGTTAAAAATAAGATAGAATGTTGTAGTATTTATAGATTAAGAAAAGGGAAAGAAAAATATATATATATATATATATATATATATATATATATATATAGGTTTAGGTTCTATGGAAAACAAAAAACCCTAAAAAAACACTAAAAATCATAAAAATGCATAAAACAAATACTTAGAGATCACAAAACTTTTTTTTTAATTTTTTTATGAAAAAATCGCTGCTTTTAATACAAAATTGTTGAATTTTTTTTTGAAAAAAAACCTTTTTTTTTATTAAAAAAAATTGATTTTTTAATTTTTTTTTCAGTGATTTTATTAAAAAAGTTGCGATTTTTTCATAAAAAAATTCAAAAAAAAGTTTTGTGATCTCTAAGTATTTTTTTTATGTATTTTTATGATTTTTAGGGTTTTTTTTGTTTTCCAAAAAAAGAAAAAATAAATAAACAGCCAATCATGTGAAGAGAGAGAGAGTGCGGGACTCCCTCCCCCCACTTTCTTCCCACGTTTCCTTTCCCGCACCCCCGGTGTGGTGTTTCTTCGTGCGGGATCGTTTCCCGCGGCTTCCCCGCTCACCACTCCGTCCGGCCTACGACGAATAAAATGCTATGTAACACTGGGGGTTGAAAAAAATGGAATGGATAAGACTCTCTCAACCCGACAACCCCTGACGACAATAAAATATCATACCATGAATTTTAAGTCTATTATTCTTGTTCTGATCGAAATAATTATAGATATTAACAATTGTGGTGATGGGTCCGGTTTTTATTGTTTAATTGAATTATATCTTGAATAATAGTATATTTAATGGGTACTTATAGTTAGTCATTGTTTCAAATATTTTATATAACTAAGTGGCCACCAAGAAATTATTACTACAAGTTGGAAGTAATCATAAACCAAACAATTTAGGAGTTGGTGGTACTAAAATATCTCAAAAGAATGTAAATATCTAAATAATATTAATCAAAGGTTTTAATATAATTAACCAATAAATTAATAATATCCTTAATATCAAACAAAACCGACCTACGTGTTATAAGCTAAAAGAACTTGTCCACTTGTTGTCATCATCCTCGGTTCTTATGTGTTTTATCTGTGGAACTACCTGCAATTTTACGTATAATTATATAGATATTAGCATCCATTTTTAATAATAATAATAATAATAATAATAATAATAATAATACCTGATCCTCTTCATGCGGAGTGGAAAAATGGAGGCGTAATCTTCTGACTCTTTTTTCAACTGATTAAATTAATATAACATTAATTAATTGCAAAAAAAGAGAAAATAAAACAAATAAAATATAGAGGCCTCAAAATATCTTCTATAATACTTTCTTTTATTTTTCTTGATAATCATTTACAATAATTTTATACATATTAGTTGCTTGATCTATGAATCATGACATCATGTTTGTTTATAAATTCATTTCAACTAGTGATGATTTTTTTAGTAATTAACAAAGGTTGTTTAATAATTAACAGTCACATGTAGAAATTATAATTAAAAAATTTATAACTGCATCAACTTCTGTCAACCGGAAATTCCACGATCTAACAAATTCTATAATATTTTTGATAAATCTGTTAAGATCATGAGAAATCGATACATGTTTTCTGTTACGATTCATATTGTTAACATAGAATTTTATCATCGGTGATGCATTTCGCTTACATTATCATACATACCTGCCGGAAAATGCTTTTTTCTTCTCTTCGCACCAGTCGGCGCCGTCGTCATCCGCTTCGAGTCTAACGTCGATTCGCAACTATCCGGCAAGTACCGATCCATCGGAAGAAAAACGCGATCGTCGCTGTTCTCCAGCATTGTTCGAACGAAGGAAGCTTCTACAGATTTCAGGAAATGAAGGTGTCTCTCGTTCGTCCATCGATGATCGTTGGAAGCTCTATTTGCATCCATTACAAGTTTAGATCCAGAGATTCCGGCAACCGTTGGAAAATATTCCCGGCGAACGATGATCTTAGCTTGGAGATATGGCGGATCCGCTTTATATAAGAGGGCGGTTTCACTTTATCATACCCTTTTCTTTTCCACGTTACGCTATGCTAATTGCAAAGTCCCACGCGCTAGAGAATTTGCAGCTTATAAACGCGCCTGATGGAGGTGTACACGTGTCATGATAGAAGGTATAGGCGTATAGCGAAGTCGACATTGGAGCGAGTGCAACACACTTTCGTGCTCAAGAGGGCGTGAAAGCAAAACAGCAGCAAAAATATCTGACGGTCATTGATATTTTAAAGAAAAGCAATTAAAGTATTTAATTTTAATTGTGAGATATTTTTTTGGTCGGTCGAAAAGATCTTGTAAGCCCATCCCAAGATAAAATAGTTGTATCAACTTTTGTCATGGAATTCAATTTCTATTATTTATTATTTTTTCAAATTTAAAAAATTATTTTAAACCTAAATTTAATCTACATATATCATAACGTTTAGATCAAAACGTGTGGTATCAAAAAAAAAAAAATCTGACATTTCCATCTCATCTTTGCCACTTCTTTGCAAAACAATAGGTGTGGTGTACCACTTTGCTAAGGAGAATAGAGAAACAGCAAGGTGTTGTCAATTTCCTTGTCATTTTGTCATGCATTTATTGGGCATGGCGTTTGAGATGCCTAATAGGCAGGATTCTTGCCAAGCCACACCCTAAGGTCTTAACTCTTGATCATTGTTCTAAAAGGCATATCATGGCGCGCCAAGGCGTGACGTGACTTCGCTGTTAGGAAAAGTTTTATGGCGTTGTTGTTAGGCGTGATATGGCGTGCCATGGCATGTTATGACGTGTTATGATACGAGTTTTTTCGTTTGAGACATGTTTTTTTATGTCTTTGTTATACCTTTTCATATCGGGCATACAACTATTGAGATTTTTTTTAACATTTTGTTATTAGTTGTTGATATAACACTTCTAAAAATTGGTTATATTTGATATAAATATATATTTATGTGGTAATATAATTATAAATTAATGCAAAACCGCCACCTTATATCACATTTTGAAAATTTTCCTGACTCATAAAGCTTGAGGCGTGGCATTGCCGCCTCGTCCACGACTCACGCCTTTTAGAACCATGCTCTTAACCCTCTAATTTTATTTCAAAAACCAAATATCATAGTAAAATCATAAAAACAGATAGTACAAAAATCTTCAGTGGATGAGATGTAATCAAACCGGGCCTTTTCTTTGCTACCAAAAGTACCTGAAACATTTAAAACTTAAACCATAAACACTTAGTGAGTTTCCAAGATACCACATACATAACAATAACAATAGGCCCCATCCTAGGGGTGTATTTCAAACCATATGAATGATACGGTCCACCCGTAGTCTTACAATCACTTATGTTGCTACAGTCCCCCTGCAGTCCTTCCTGATATCCCCCCCCCCCCCCCCCCCCCCCCAGTCTTTCATACAATGTGTTATGGCTCCCCCTATAGCCTTTCATAAAATTCACAAAAAATAACAAATTTATTTAGACACTACATGTCCTACACAATATAGTGAGAAGACTCACCACATAGAAAATCAGATAATCACCACAACTCGCAGGAAAAGTGAAGGCCGATACTACAAACCACCTAAACATTTGAAATCAAAGGTCAATCCCCAGTCTGTAACCCCAAACCCTAAAGTTTGACCATAAGTTAAATTGGTCAAAAAGTCAATAGGCAACAGTCAACCGTTACCGACCACAGCGTCGTGACCTACAACTTGACCGCGTCACAGTCAATAAAAGACAATGTAGTCGCGACTTGGCCTCGCGTCTGCACCGCGACAAGCCATTCACTGCGACGTGTTGAACGTTCATAACGACTCATTCCCTTAAACTATTAACCCGAAAGTCCATGACCCTAGAGTTTAGATTTGGATCGATTTACTATATGCATGGATAAAGTTTCTAACTTTATCCATCTCCTTCACTCCATAAACCAAAAATCCTAAACCCTAACTAAGATTGGGACCAAAACTCATGCATGGCTTAAAGGAGAAGCATGTATAGACATTTTTCTTCCATGAAACAAGTCTAGAAGATTATTTAGTCAAGAGAAATGTCTTCGAGTCCCCTAAACTCCAAGGACCTCAATGAAATGGACAAAAAGGGACCTAAAATGGTCCATAACTAGATCTAATTGAAAAGGATTCAAAGGTAGAAACTTTACACCCCCAAGAGCTCAGAAACAAGAAGAAAATGTTGGATCCATACTTTAACCAAACTTTAATGCAACCACAAACTCTTTCTCCACTCACTTTTTTACCAAAAATGGACAAATTAAGGTCAAAATCACCAAAATCTCAGGAACTATGGAGTGGGGGCTAAGGTTTCTCTGGAGGTGATGGAGGTTGAGGGTGGAGAGAACCCTACCATCACATCCCATAAATAGAGCTCAAGGCCCGAGACCTAGGGTTTGGAACCGAGCCGTCATCGCGTTGCGGCCAACACCTGACCGTGTCGCCCCTCAGGTGACGTGGCAGCATCACGGTGGTCTCAACCACCGTGTTGTTGGGTTTTTATTCAAAAATCCGGTTTCACAACCGGTAAAAATGACAACGGAAGCTTTAAAAATGTTGAATAAAACTAAAACTATTTTACCCACCAAGGATCATGTTGCAATAGTTAGAAAGATTAAAACAACCATAGAAGGGAAATCATAACAACCTTTGAAGACTTTGATCCTCATGGGAGGTTGGAAGTTGATGAAGTGTGGCATGAAACTCTAAAACAAGAGTTCTCCAGAAGTATCCACCAAGCAAGAATAGAACCATCAAAACATGCTAGTATTCACTTGTAATTTGTTCTTTATAAGCCTTTGAAATATATACCAAATATATGTTCAAAGGTGAAGCAACAAAGGGACTTTTTCTAACATCAAAATGCAAGAGAATGGAGGAGAAGGAGAGCTTATGAAGCTCGAAATTTGGCAGCCCCATAGAGAGCAATGTGCTCTCGGATTTTGGCTCCAAAGAAGAACCAAAATGAGGCTTGCAAGAACTCTAATCTAACCTTCCATGTCCTCCCTTATATAATGGCCAAAAAGCAAGAAGAGACCATAAAGCAAAAAAGCATGATACATGCTTCTTGCAAGCATGGTAGAATTGATTAAACAATTCAAAAGAAGACCATGCTTGGTCTCCTCTCACTTTTTCGAAAAGGGATAGGCACAAAAGAAGACAAAAGTTATCTCATAGCTAGTTTATATATACATACATGTTATCTTTATAAAAATTCAATCTTATTTATAAAGAATTCCCAACATATATATATATATATATATATATATATATATATATATATATATATATATAACTAGTCATATATAAATATCTTATTTTATATAAAACTACCTTTTATATAAAATGAACTAGTTTATTAAGATATATAAATATAACTTATAAATAATCATACTTTATGATATATTTCATAAGTTGTTATTTCTCCAATAAATATTATTTCCACAAATAATAAATTCCCAGTTAGAAAAATATTATTTCCATGAAATAATAATTTTCCAATTAAATACAAGTGTTGATATATTTATTAATAATAAAATTATACTAATAAATAATCAATTGAAGGTAACTTGCTATATGGTGTGACCCTATAGGATCATATATTATTATCAATATCATTCTATAATGACACTTGGGCATACAAGATCTTTCACTCTCCCACTTGTACAAGACTCATCATAGATTGATATAGACAGTGGTGAACGTCTAGCAACATTTCACTGCCCCCAATAACACATGACGAAGAATTACATTCATCAACATCCAATTCCCAAAAGCTCCAAGCTTCAATTGATGTATTAAGGTAATTTTATCAATTTTCCCTTTGTTACAGACATCTTGTTGAACATGAGTATTGGATCGCAATCAATCTCATTTGTAAATTAACTTTAGGTAACGCGCGTTAGATGTCTAACTCTCAACACATAAGAGGAACAAATCACATCTTGACTACATAAGCCTCTTGCATAGTTCACACCATACCCGAAAATGACTTTTATAATTGCCCGGTTAAGGAACAACATTTGGTCATATCAAAGCACAGCACTCCCTACACTTAAGTCTCACTCTGTATCTCAGGTGTTAAGGATACAAAGATAATACATTTTAATCAATTGTCACTCACGACTGCGATCTATGAGTTGATCTTGATGCGGGTCCGTTCAGTACTAGTTCTCTGACAAGTACTTATGAAACTTGGTTACAACTTTTTGCCTACTTTCATATGGTGAGAGTCAGCCAATCCTTTTCATATTAGTCTTACTTCATAATTGCTCCCACAATCATGACCAACTATGAACCTTTAGAATAATAAGATTATTCATGGATTAAGCATGTTAATATAGAACACAACAAGTATTAATGTAACGATCATATCCCAGTATATCAAAACATTATGTAATAGTTGTTGTTATAATGTTCCAATGTCCAAATACTAAATCCAAACCAAAAATCCCATTTCTAGAATAATAAAAGTCGTATGGCTTAAGTGTGACCACTCATACTTAGGCTTAAAAGGAAAGACTTTATTAATGGGTTCGACTAAATTTAATTTGTGTGAATTTCGCGAATACTATATCTCCATATTTGACTTTTACTCTAGGTATAGTTAAATATCTTGGAGAATATGATTGGTGTTCTTTCGTGACATAGAGTCTCTTAGCTTGATTAAGTCAACTCTCTAAGTCACAAAGATTTCTATGTGATCCTTGAATGGCAGAAATCAACATATTTCAACGAACTCATCCATCCAATCATATTTGACTTTAACTTTAAAAGTTGTGTATTCTTATTTTGTAGTAGACTGTGTCATTATGTTTTTTGCTTGGACCTCATTCCAACTAAACTTACTCTTCATTCCAAAATGAAGTCATAATCCAATTATAATTCATAATTATCTACATTTATTTAGAAATCAAAATCCTATGTAGCTCTTTACATTAAGATTTTATTCTAAACTAATTATCTC